GGAACTTTCCTCAGGAATCCACATGACTAAGTTCTATCCCACTGCTGTATTTTGCAAGCATATTTGTGACACTTGCACATGCTAGTGATGACAGTGAGGGTACCAGTGGTCAGGTCACATTCTTTGATTTGAGTGACTCACTATTGCTCAATGCGATTGGCCTGCATTCCCTGTCTCCTACCACTCCACTTCACATTGACGAAATGATAATCTAAATATCTCTTTATGAATATACATACAAGGGGACTGCAAAAAGCTCATGGAAAAAATAATTAAAGTACAAGTTATTTTGGTGCAAAGCATTTTGAAATCCATGCAAAGTTTTTTATAATACACATTTCCTGCAGACTTTCTGAAAACTTGTATATGCATAAGTGAATATATGGACATGCATACAAGCAAATATGCACATACAAACATGCATTCATATATTCCTACTATGAAGTTATGGAAAGAGAAACCAACAGTCAAACAATATGGAGCTTTAGAAACATCTGCTCATCATCGGAACTCCAATGCAACTCTTCTTCACAAAATAATTCGAAATTTTATTAATGAGTTCATCAAGACTGCAGCCTTTGACATGCTATTTTTTTCCCTCTCTGTTAAGTCTTTTTCTACATTCTAATTCTGGGGAGAATTATGTTTTCTCTCTCGTTTTCTTCTATTGGTACAATATAGAAATAGAGAGGAATTGAAAGAAAAAGAGATTTCATTGTTGGAATATTTTGTCAAGTACCTCCTGATTTTTCTATCCATAACATTTTCATATCAGGAATATGTCTTTGTCATAGAATTACTTTTAAAAGGAGGAATCAGAGAAAGGTCATTACTCTTTTGAATTTGTAGTGATTGATTCATTAAAGAATAGGAGAATCAACTGTAAACAATGGTGTTTTAGTCTGTTTTTGCATTGCCAACAGAAATACCTGAGGTTTGGTGAATTATAGAGAAATATAAATTTAATGATTCACAATTGTGGTGACTAGAAAGTCAAAAGGCATCCCAAATGACAGAAGACAGTACTTTATGCAGGACAGATTATGGTCTATGTCTATGAGAATTTTGTCTGTCTTTCTGGCCACATTCTCTCTGCTCATATACCCTCTATAACTCAGTCATGGAGACCCTGCTCTAATGCTATCATCACACCCAGAAGTCTCACTCTTGGACACCGTGAAGGAACTAAGTTTTCATTTAATACTTTCACAAAGCAATCAACACAATCAAGTCCCGGCACATGAGTTTCTAGGGACAGTCAGTCACCACCCACTGAGACTAAATTCCAAAATATGAAACTTTAGGGAAAATGATTTAAACCATAACAAATGGGTTAGAAGAGGGTATAGGTTGGGGCCAGGAAATCACTAGGAGCCCCTCTGGAGTCTGGAGGGAGAGAGGCTGAGTGATTGCAGCAACAAGTATAAAGAGGCGTAAGGAAAGAGCCAGTAGAAAGGTAAAAGTAAGACCAGATTTTGGAACTGTGAGAAGAAAGAAGGAGTGTTGAGAGAGTCCCGGATTTCTACCTGGAACAACTGGTGGATGGGAGTTTCAATATCTGAAAAGAAGATTAAAAGACAAAGATCAGGTTGGGTATGTGCAGAAATAGTTCTCATGTGGCCCAGGTCCTATGGGACACCTATGTGGAGCTATCTAGAAAGAAGCCAAATAGATGAGTCTGTAACATAGGAAAGGGGTTTGACCAAAGGATTCCAATTTGAGAAAGCAGTAATTAGCATTTAAAGTAAATTCAGTCCAATGGTTTGGTGCATGAATGAGCCAAATCCCACATGGCCTGCTGGAACTTGGTTGGAACTTGGCCCTGATGGGTTGAAAAACAAGCCAGGCACAAAACAAATAAGCATACCCTTTAGAAATTCTTTTAAAATAATTATTTATTTAATTTTATTTATCATCATCATCATTATTATTTTAAATTTGTTACAGGGCACATGCACTCAAGAGAGAGAGAGAAAAAGTGAGAAAGCAAGTCGCCACGTCTGGCACCTGAACTGCAGTTGACCATGTGGGAGTCGAGCACCTAAACCACAATGCCATCTACTGGCCCCACAAAATGATTCAAATAAACCTAATTTTTGTATATTTTATTAAAAGGAAAACATCTCCCAACACCAAGAACACAAAATTCAAAATGCGTAAGCCCTTAATAGATATATGTTTAACATTCAAAGGATAAAAGAATGGATGAATAAATAGAACTTGTTATGAAGTAGTAAAAAATTCCAATTATTATAGTTTGTGTATTTGAGTGTATTATGAGCGTAAATGTATGTGTGAGTGGCTATACGTGTCTGTCTGCATAGTTATGTATGCACGCATCCAAACACACAAAGATCAAACCTATTTTAGAACTATAGACCCATATTAACCTGCTAGGGTTGCCATAAGAGAATATCACAGTCTGGATGACTTACAGATTAGAAATTTATTTTCTCACAGTTCTGGAAGTGAAAAGTCCAAGACGTGGCTATAGTCAGTATTGGTTTCTGGGGAGACCTCTCACCCTGCTTGCAAACAGCCACACGGCTACCTTCTTCCTGAATCTGGGCAAAGCTTTCCCTTTATGCCAGTGTAGAAAGCAAGGAGGAAGGGAGGGATCAGTTTCTTGTCTTTTCTTTTTTTTTAGGGATCAATTTCTGATGTCTTCTTCTTTTAATTTTCTTTTTCTTTTTATATGAGTTCGTTTTTTGTGTTCTTGTTAGTTTGTTTCTGACAAGGTCTTGTCATGGCCAGCTCCTCAGTTTAGGGCTCGGGGCACTTCACTGCATGCATCACCCGCGAGGCCTCTCTGCCTCTTTTATAAGAACAGGAGTTCTGATGAATTAGGGACCCACGCGTATGACCTCATGTCATCGTAATGACGTCTGTAAAGGTTTTATCTTCGTACACAGCCACATTAGGGTTTAGGACTCCACCATATCAACTTTGGGAAACAACACAATTTGCTCCATAAACACATCAGGATATTTGACATGCAAACTGTATTTTTCTTTGAGGGAAGGATAGACTCTGAAAAAAAAAAAAAAAAAGAGTTTGTTTTGTGTCCTAAGAGGATCCAGTGTTGGTGCAGGCAGTAGGTTGCCTAGAACTACATAGCATGTGATCTGAATTCTCTGACTCACCCTGATCCTGGTAATGGATAATGTCCTGCTCAGGCAAAGCTTGATCCATCTGAAAGACTGTGGGTTTGGTTCCTCAGTGAACCTGCACACAGTAGCTGTGAGGGTGCCCATTCTCCTGACTGAGTTTGGAGGAAGGGTGCCTAGACGGGGCTTGTCAGGGGCACCTGTCTGTTTCTGTCAAGAAATAAATACAACTAAAATAATAATGGTAATAATAATGATCATAAGGAGGATACCTAATGAGGGTACTTCTCAGAAAAATGCAACTAAAGTACAAGTTTAGGGCCAGCTAGTGACTGGTGGGAAAGGCGGTTGGATTCCATATGGCCACCTAAATGTTCAGTGGCTTGAAAAGCACAATGGGGCATGTTTGAATGCATGCACAGAATCCCAAGAGGAGAAGGGAGTACGGATTACAGTATGGTCATTCCCCCTGGGTGTTGTTTTCTAACTTTCTGGTCCTCTCTTTCTGTTTCTGTTGAATACATAAATCCTATAGCCACTCCACCCCAAAAAGTTAATTTTGGTGCAAAAATGTATAAAATCTATGAGAGTTCCCCCCCGCGTACTGTATGTATTTTCTATACACTTTTTGAAGTCCTTTTTCCTCCCACATAAGAGGAGAGGTCTATGTTGGAGGTCAGATATAGTTTGCTCATTTACAAAATTAGTATATTTTCACTTAATTATATTGGAATACAAGTACATTTCACTTCATAGCAGTGAAGGACCGGCAGGTGGCATGGTGGTTAAAGGCCCTGGATTCCCACTTGGCCCACTGCAGTTGGAGCCCTGAACCTGGCAGCTTTCTTTCTCTTTCCGTCTCTCTCTCTGGAAGCTTTCTTTCACTTTCCCTCTCTCACTCTCTTTTTCTCACTCTCTCTGCCCTGTCTGGTCAAATTTTTAAAAATATAATAATAACAAATGGAATTAAATAAATAATTTTAAAAATAAATGAATAAATAGCAGTTGAGTGGGTCTAATCAATTATTTTCTATTGATCTATGGAAACCAGGCTGAAAGTGCCTGAAATGGATATCCTGTAAGGCCATACCCTAAAGGTGTAAACTTAAAAGGGAAACTTCTTGTACAGTGGCTTTCTACTGCTTTCTTGGCGTGCGAGCACTTGCATTAGTGTTAACTTTCACTTACGGTCATTTTTAACGTAGGAGATAATCCTTTTATTTTGCATTTGCGCCGTTCTACCTGGTTGTACACTTGACCTTCCTTAGGCCCTAGTCTCCGTGTTCACGCTCCCTGTGAAAACTCCTTGGAGTAGGAAAGACCTCGCCCTGGCGGCCAGGTGACTGAGACAGGGTGGGAACAGCAGAGTTCCGAGGGCGCGGAGCTGCTCACATACCATTCCCCTCCCACCACCATCCGGTGCGGGGAGGCGGAGAGGGCTGCAAACTTCGCTCCAATCCGCAGCCGGCCCTCCCCGGGGTCCTCCTGCTGGGCCACCAGCCCGCTGCGGACCGAGTTGGAGGAACTTTGCTAAACTCGCCGTCAGAGCCTGCAGAGGCTAAGTGCTCCCCCTCCTCTCCGGGCTCCCCCTCCCTCTGCCCCCGCCTCCGGGTCCTAGCCCAGCCCGGGTCGCCGGTGATAGGACGAGCCCCGGGCGTGCTTTGTGTATATGCAAACCAGAGTCCGGGCTCCCAGGGCTGCTCGACCCGGGCCCCGGCTGCCGCCGCGGCGGGGGGCCG